CAGTTGAAAGATTGAGAGAAGCTGCTAAAGATAAGCTACTTTAGGCAAAAATCTCTCTTTTTGTTTCTGTTGCAGGAGTTCTACATCCATTTCTAAGCATTCAGACAGATGATCCTTGTGCCCTTTCTGTTACATTTACTAGATGCTAAGTCATATCTCTCCAAATTTTCAAGAGATATACTGTAGAGGCAAATCTGGAAACTGATAAATGTATTATGGATTAAACATTTATTAATGTTGCAGAGTAGATGTGGGTCTTGGCTGGTGGAGTTAGCTAAAGTCGAGTATCTGATCTTAACAAAGAGAATCAGAACTCAGGCAGACTTTTTGTAGCTGGTATCAAATATTTGAAGAAGCCCATTGAATATAGCTTATTAATAATTCTTATCGATCCTAGTTCTTAGTAGATTTTATGTGGAAAAGGATGGAGAGGTCTGAATATATGTAAAGTGATGGTAATTCCACAGTTGCAGATAAGTCAAATTGCAGTTTAATGAATTATATCGAGTATGGTTTTAGAAAGATTTGTAGTATGTTGCGATGGACTTGATCACTTTTACGAGGACTTGAGAATAACCAGATTTAAGAATTGAGTGTGTAAACTATTCTAATTTATCACATGCAATGCCACAGTGAAGTGGTTTTCAGTAATAATATATTTTGTAGAAATCTCATGAAAATTTTAACCAAGCGAAGTTTGATACTCTAAAAAGTAAATGGGTGTGAGACTATTAATGAACTTCTATATGTTACAGTCCAGACTGCTCGTGGTGCATTCACTGAGCACTTGAAACATAAAACTGTGTGAATAACTAAAAAAATTGTTAGAAAAAAGAAAGCCAGGTTAAAATTTTGAGTAAAAAAAAAAATTGAGCAGAGATGTTTCTCTTCAATTGACTAGCAGATTGCAGAGTTAAAACAAAATTAATTAGTGATTTTTTCATAACATTTTATATTAAGTTTGTTAAATATAAATGTCTTATTTTTATTAATTAAAAATTACATTTACATATTATGTATGGTATATTATGTTTTTGCATCAGAAATCAAATTGATTTTAACCTTTAATTAGCCAGTGTTGAATATCACTGAGTGTGTTTGCCAATTATATATATTTAAGGATAGAATAATGGGCCCTCCTGCCAGTTGTAACATAACTTCAGTCCATAATTTGTATAATACTTTAATATCATTCCTGACATAATTCACAATTATGTGGAGAAATCTATTTAAAAATTCATACATGTTGAAAAATCAACGATTCATTTGATTTGTTTTAGATGGATGCATGTACGTATTTAATTTCTTTTGTAAATGAAAGTTATTGGGGGAAATGGAAAATAACTCCTGTTGTAGTCATAATAGTAATTGTTTGGGTAATGTACTTTGTTTGAAGTCATATGCAATTAGAAAATTTTTGTGTTATCAAGTGGCACCATAATTAATTTAACCTTTAGCACAACTAACATGCACTATACGGATAGACTGGAATTTTCTTAAAACACACCTAGAAAACCCAGGGAATTTCATTCTCCTTTTTAAGTGGCAACCCTGTTAAAATAGGCCAAAATGAAATATTCTTTGTTTTCCGGAAGGAGTTTGTTGTCCATTATAAATGCTTTGACTCAGGAAAAAATTTTATTAATTGAATAGTTTGATATTAACCACAAAGTAATAGTTGTAGTTGGTCGTGAATACGGATGCTGAGTTTTTTTCCCCTTCTGCATTTTTTTTTTTTTTTTTGTCTTGTTTTTAGCAGGACAGAAAACAAAACTAAATATTGTTTATTTCCTGTTCATAGATGTGCAGCTGAATTTGAATTTAACGAATTGTTCATGATCAATAACGAGGTTTAATAAGTTGTAACTATTCATTTAATTTGGAAAAAAAATTATGTACATACATCAATGAATAAGTGGCATTTTCTTGATTTTAATTAAAAAATGAATCTCTCATTTTGTAACTTGATTCATTTTTTTCTCAAAATACATCCAAACCGAAATCAAATACATTAAAAGCTAGTAGAAATTTTCATTTGTAATGAAAATAAAAGGCAGCCTTCTCTACAGGATTTTCTGGCCATAACGCTGAGAGGGTTAATAGGAATTACTTTAAACAATATATGGGTTATTAAAATTTCACTTTTTAAATTCCTTTATCAATTTTTAATAACTATTCTCTATTTCTTTTGCTACTTCTACATTGCAGACGGCCTCTGAATAAGATTTGTTGTATTTCTCAATATGTAGTCTCAGGATTTGCATGGTCATAAAAGTCCTTAGGTGTTTTTTTTTTGGGGGGGATGATTTTTGGTACTTAAAAATTCTCAATTTCAACCACATTTGAATAAGGTCCTTAATTTTGCTCATCTGAGAATTGTCTCTCTTTTATGACTTCTCTTCTGAGTGTGAATTAATATTTTTGATGAATATCTAGTTCAAATCATGCAGTTTATAATGGAGCCATCACAGATTAATGTTGTAAATAATAAGGAACAGTGAGCCATCCCAGAATGAAACTTACTTGTGCTTGATTGCTCGCTTTTCTAGCCTTTCAAATCAGGTGCAGTAATAAAAATATTGTCTGTCTCCGTTGAAATTGTACCGTAAGGTCAAGATCATAGTTCAAGCAGCTTTTATCTGCAGTCATTGAGTTTAATAAAAATAGATCTCTATTCAAAAGTCCAATGTAGTCTGGTTAGTTAAAACACTTTGCAATTTGCTGTAATTTTTCTATTATTTTTGTTCTTTTCACAAACTTGGAAAACTGCAAAAATGATTCTAACCTTGTTGCATGGGAAGACATCTGTAGAAAGAAATTTTACCATTAATAAAGATTTTGAAAATAGACAATTTTAATCATTCATTTTCTATATCTATCTCAGCACATCTTATGTCATTGCTGGAGTTAGTGTTAACATTCATATTACTAAAATAAAATCAGCAGTTTCTTCTTTACATCTTTGCTGCACTCGATAAAGGACAACAAAAATCCTCAAAATCAAATTTGAAAATTCAAAGATGGAGAGGAAAGTATATTGAGAGATTATATATTATTTCGTAATTACAAAACAATTTTTTTAAAAACAAAATATAAACATGTAAAGTTCTTTTTTCTTTAAATTTTTTGAATTGGGGTATTGCTTGGTTTAAAGTTTTGGTTTTAAAATTTTTAATTTTTGTTGTATTAATAGAATTATTTGAAATTTATTAATTATGAATTTCAATTTTTGGTCTTTGTGAAAAATTAGTTCTGAATTTCTTACTTTATGTGTTTATTTTAATATTATATATATTAAAAAGTTCAAAGAGATAATGTTAAAAATACTAGCTGATAAAGCAGAAACCAGTAGAATAAAATATGCATTCGTTTACAAAAGCAGGTAAATTTAGAAAAGATGTTAAAGACAGAGAAATAAATATATAGGCAAGATATGCAAAAAATTTCAAATATATATATATATTGTCATTTTTATTTTATAGCTTTTAATGTGTAATTATAACTCCAAAATTCCATTTAAAGTGAGAATTAAATATACTACATTTTTGAACTGCTTGTATATAAAGAGAATTTTCTAGTATAATGTTAAAATTGTTAGATATTGGTGTAAATTTTCTTTAAAATGTGTGTAAGTATTATAAGTGTTTCAAGTTTTTTATCATATATATATACAGAGTTGCCAACTCTTCCGATTTAGGCGGGAGACTCCCGATTTTCGACTGCTCTCCCGCCAACCCGATTTACAATATATTTCTCCCGACTTTTTCTTATTCTTAAAATTTCTCACGATTTTTATGGAATTTGGCTTAATACTTTGTTATATGAACAAAAAAAAAAGTGATTTTGGACATCTGAAAGCAGTTGAATTTTCTCTAGATTATATCTGAAACAAAACCTTGCTAATCAGATGAGAATTTCTGCTTTGTGAGTGAGAGCATACGTATCCAGAAATGTCGTTCTCCAATGGGCATCGAGCTCCACTGCATGTCATCTAGCATATATCTAGCAAGCTGTTATTGTTAAGCTCAAGGCTGTTATTTGGATGTTCTTTAGTTATGTGGATGAAAACATTGTTGATATTTATTATTATCTTGAAAGGAGTTCTAAAAAAGGAAGGAAAAATTGAAACAGTTCCAACAACTGCAAAATACTGAAATGAGAAAAATTTTTGAAACATCTGTGTACATGCTGGCTGTCTTTAAAGAAATGTTTATCTAGAATCCTTGATCAATGGAACCCACTTTTTGCATTTTTTAAAGAAGAAGTAAATGCTCTATCGAAGTAATATCTCTTATCTTACTCTATCGTATATCTTTTATCTTACTCTATCGAGTAAGATAAAAGGCTCTATCGAAAATTATAAAATACCTAAAGTAAATGGAGATGTAGTTACAACTTCCATTGTTAAAAATAGGTTTGAGAAAAATAATTTCTGCACCATTCATCAATTCAACTGGCAGTTCTCAAAATAATATTTAAAAATATAAACGTAAACCTGATACAAATTTCTCTCAAAATAAAAAATAAATAAAAAATATTGCTCAACACACGAAACATTTTCCCGATTACTGTAAGTTTATCTAAGCACGAATCTGCCACCGTTCATAACATTCTGAATACGAAAGCAAAATCTGTCACTGTTCATAACATTTGTATGAAAATTGATTAAAATGGCTTTTTTTTTTTTTTTTTTTTTTTTTTTTTGTTTTGTTATTGTTGTTATCTTAAACGATGCAAGTAATAAAAATGTTTTTTATGTGTAAGGTATTTTTGTGTTGCTTGCATTTAAGAATTAGTAACTATTTAAAGTTAATTCATTATTAAAAACTATATTTTTATCATTTAAAAAGTCTTTTTAACATTGTGAAAATCTCCTGATTTTTGAGTGTCATAGGTTGGCAGATATGCATATATTAAATATTTGGTAAATTTTAGGAAGTTTATTTTCAGATTAGTTTTACTTTTGTGTTGCATGTTAGTTTGCATTTAATAGTAATGCATCTTGCGTACTGTTTTGGTTTATACTTAGAATGAAAGGTAGTGTAAGAGTAAAGTAGGTATTGTATAGATAATTGCTTTACTTTATTCAGTTTTGATAGGTCCAAGTATACTATCCGCTTCATTATTAACGCAATTTATCCTGGAGATTAAAAAATTGACATCTGTACAGGTATAATGTTAAAATTGTTAGATATTGGTGTAAGGTGTAAATTTTATTGTCGTTGTAGGTTGGGCGTCCTAGTAACATGCCTCAGGCAGCTCCTATTATTGAACAGATCATGGAAGAAGCAAAAACATATAATCGCATATATGTAGCATCTGTTCATCAAGATCTTACTGAACAGGATATTCAGAGGTATGTTTTTTTTTAATATTTCTGTATATAATTTAATGTCTGAAATAATTAAACATAGCTAAACGCTTTATTTTTGGTGGATGGAGGTGGTAATATTCATAGCAGTAGTTCTAATTGTTGGTGTATTTTTTTAATCCATTATTATTATAAAAATATTAAAAAACAAAGACCCTTTTATCATTAACCAGAAGTGCGGCAAAAATATTCATGTTTTTCTGGTGTAAAATTGTTCTTATAGTAATTTTTTCATTAAGAATTACTTGATATTTATAAGTTGGCTTCATTCAGCTGTATTCCCCCTTTTTATTTTAAAGGCTTTAAAAAAATAGATCCATAATTTTTTTTTTTTTTTTTAGTTCATTAAGTGTTTATCAGATAGATATCAAAATGAAGTAAACATTAATAAAATGCACTGTCATTCGATCTACCACCTTGAAAGTTCTAAAACTTAAATAAACATTATGAACTCACAAAATAAAAATAAGTTTTTAAATTTTTCTGACATTTTCTCATATATGGTTGTATTTGTAATGCCTTTAAAAGTAATTAGAAAATTTTCTAAAGCCTTTTTCTTTTATTGCATCTCATTCACTTCAATGTCTGCTAAATTATTCACTCTTCATTTGCTGTTTGAAGTTATTTGTGAAATGTGTCTTATTGTTCTAGAATAATAGGTACAAAGTCGTATGTCATATCCAAATAGAAGTTCTGGAAGGAATTCTTCATGGGGAGGGGAATATATGTAAAGCGGTCTTGGATCTGGTCTTTCAGAAACTTTTCTTGATTTTATCTGACAGTACCAAGATTTTTTTTTTTATTATTATTTTTTTATATATTGTATGCTTCTATTAGTAGCAATGTAACTCTTATTACCCATGAAGATGATAGAATTTTATTTAAAAGTTTAAGCATTTTGGGGGGAATTGTCAAGGCGGATGCCCTAACATTTTGCATTGGCATACCCGCCAACTTTTATGAATTTTTCGTAATTTTTACGAAAATGCGTTTGTCTTTACGATTTTACGATCGTAATCCATTTTTTACGATTTTTTTCCTTTTTCAAGTGTTTTTAGTGATTTTTGTCGAAATTTTAGAATTTTTCACCAATTGCATCGTGTTTTACTGCCAACTACCGACTACTTCGAGTCCAGTAACCTGCGGTTTCTCCCAACTCGCCGCTTAACCACCCAATCCAATGCGCTGAACTTGTTTCTCCCACTCTTTTCTTTGTGGGCACCAGATTATTTTTTTCGTGCTCACTTCAGCAGGAAGGGAATTACTCAGCGAGCATGGATTGTCGCATTCTTTTTTTTGGTTTGTTTGTTTGTTTGTTTGTTTGTTTGCACGTGCTACGAATTTTTTTAATACGTCGTTACGAAATGTCACTCATTTCAAATGAGTTAAAAAAAAAAAAAGTATTCTCAATATTTTCGGCCTGCCTACAAAGCCGAATTTCCAACAATTAAAGAATACTTCAGAGGAAATAACTGCATTTTGCAACGTGTGCGTGTGTGACTTCATAATAAGTCACAGTGGAAGAAGCGACATTGTGAAGCATGTTAAGTCTAAAAAGCATGAAGTTAATGCTTTGTCTTCGACAACATCAAAGAAAGTGGATAATTTTTTTTTTCAAATTCAGATGCTGATGTCATTTTGGCAGAGTGTTTGTTTACTGCATTCCTCATCGAACACAACGTGCTGCTAAGCGCTGCCGATCACGCCGGTCAAAACTATGTTTCGTTCTTCAATTTCACCAAAAACTCTAGAAAACATTTTAATTGCTAAATGTTATGAGGAAACTAATTGTTATGACAGGAAATTTTCCAAAGAATTTTTGGAAAGCCAAAAAATGCACTCTAAATTCATTGCAATGATTTTTTTGTGCAACATTAAGTTCTTGTTTTACGTTTCCTAATAAATTTTTTAGTTACTACTTAATTGAGATTTACTAATGTAAGTACAATTTTCTTTTTTCTATTTGTATAAATTGTTATTTTTTTAATATCAAAGCATGATGTTAATTCTTCGTGTTCTTCTGAATTTTGGAGAAATCTTCTGAATTTTTATCTTTAGAGGTTGGCAGGTATGCATTGGTATCCTTTTCTTCTAATCAGAGTGAGGATCGTGTCACAGCTGGAATTTCTCTTTGGAAAGAATTCCCCCCCCCTCCTCCAACAGTGGTTGTGATAAGTGTTCAAGATCTTTTGCTTTTGGTTAATTGTGTGGTAAACATTTTGCATTCACTTTTTAAAATTAATTCTTCATAAATAATTTAGTATGTGACTGTTTTATTTTTAGGGGGAGGAAGGAATATTTGAGGTTGTTTGTGCTGTATGTAAAAGCATGTTTAAAAAAATGCACTGTTATCACTGTAATTTTGGATTGGATTCCTTGTAAGGTAATTTTTTTTCTTTTATGCTTTTTAGTGTTTTTGAAGCCTTTGGAAAAATAAAAATGTGTAAATTACAAAGTGGGGGAATACCTGGGAAACATAAGTAAGTATCAGATTTTATTTGACTTTTTAAAATCTTTCTGCATGAATATTAGCATTTTATTTGAAATATATGCAATAATAATTTTATCTTTTAGAGGCTATGGATTTATAGAATATGAAAATTATCAGTCAGCACAGGATGCTATATCATCAATGAATTTGTTTGATTTGGGTGGGCAGTACTTAAGGGTTGGAAGGGTAAGTATGTTGTATGTATATTAAAGGTAAAAAAATATATTTACCTTTTTTAGTCCATCTTGCACTATTTTAAATTAATGATTCTTAAATTTTCAACAGTCAAACTCCTTTTATGGATTACAGCAGATTTCTTTTGTTGTGGCGTCATAAAAGATAGATATAAAGTTCTATTTTGAATAAAAGTGCTTTTTAAAAAATTTAACTGTGTTCGTACAGTACTGTTATATCCAGACCTTTTACCAACTCAAATAATGACGTTCTTTATTTTATTTTACATATCTATTCTTGTAATTAATGGGAATTTGAAATCGCCGATTAACAGAACCATTCTTTTGCCTGTAAATCAGAACTAGCTTTAAAGAAATAATAATATGTGTCAAAATATAATAATTTATTAATATAATTTAAAACTTGACATCCTTCTTCACAGCTAATGCAGTTGTTCAATATTTTTATATACAGTGCAGTCACTATTTTATACTTTGTACAGAAAAAGCGAAGAGCAGAAATATTTGATATTCTTTATATCTTCCTCTTTCCCATTTTCTTAATTATAAAATGAGTAGTTGAAATTTCATGAGCCATTGATATTGAAATAACTATTTTATGTAACCGCGTTTATTTCAATACTATTTTATATTGATATGTATGAAAACCACGTTGTGGATTGCATACTTTTCTTCTAAACAAATATTTGTTCAACCCCTTTGTACTATTTAATTAAAAAGGGCCAACAAAAAGTTAGACCCTAATTCATGCACCTTTCATCAGTCTCACTAATTGCTTAACTTGGAGTATTACAGGCACTTGTTGTACTTAAAGTAACCAGACGTCCAAAAAATATGCAGAGACAGTCTTGCATTTTAGGGCAGTTGTGAAACTATAAATAAATTCAATAATTGAATAATCATGGTATCTTTATATACTTTCAGATAACTCACTAGATTCACACATGCAAAAAGGGGGTGTAAATTTCTGTTCCAGCTGCATTTAAAATATGGACAGTGAAATTAAATTATCTGAAAAATTTTAACTAGATTACCTTTTGAATATGCAGACAACAGTTAACTCCCCCCCCCCCCCAAAAATAGAGAATTTTCCTGCAATCAAATGTCATATCATTCAAATGAAAGAATTTTTAACTATTCATGCTAAATTAAGTAATTACATCTTCCTTCATTTCGTGTGCTTAATGGTCTCTCTTTATAGATATATTTAAAATGTTATGAATAAAACAATGGAATAGTACACTAAAAATTAAAGTGAATTTAAGATTTTTTTTTTCTTCTTTGTTTGCTTAGATTTTGTAACTTGGGAATATTCTTATAGTCGTTATATGCATCTACAATTAACCCTTTCTGTGACTATTACTGATAGTACTAAATTATGTTTTTCATAACTAACTTTCTTACTACTGAATAAATAAATGTGGTATTAATCAAACCGTGGTAGGATTTGTACAGACACAGATGTTAATTAAGACAATGTATCTAAACATAATAGAGCCAAAAATAGCAGATTATCAGTACAAAAGGCATACTATGAGCATGCCTGCAAATAATCATTGGGGGGTTAGAAATTGTCTTTTTTGTTATTTTTACCTTTAACATTTAACAATATTTGATTTAAAATATTTCTGCTTACCTTTGCTTGAAGAAATCCACAGGTTACTACAAAAAGAACATTCATCTTATTTTTATCGTTGCCACTACATCGCAATCAAATAATCGCAAAGCGGTAAGAAAACAATGACAAACATAAAATAAAAAATGTTAAATTTATGTTGCTGGCCCTCTCACTACCAGCAACATAAAACTAACATTGGGGGCAATATTTCCAAAATGATTATTTTTTACAGCTTTTCTTAGAAATCATTAATTTTTCTACAAGAAAAATTTCAAGTATTACGTCATGTTAGAAATAAAGTATGAGATACATGTAATAATTAATATTTCAAACAGTTGAATAAAATTTGCACATACAGTTGAAATTGTGTTTTTGTTGAAGCAAATTATTTTGCTTTTTTAGCATTTTCAAATTCAATAAGACATGTAATAGGTAACTAACACCCGCTGCATTATATTATTCCATCAGTATTGCATTTTGTTTCAAAAAAGATTTTTGAATCTATTTTTCAATCTTTTTATATTTCACAATTCATTATCTTAATTACTAACCTAATAATTTTGATTTTGTAGGCTATAACACCGCCAAATGCCTTGCAGGCCCCAACTACAGCAAGCACGATGCCTACAGCAGCGGCTGTTGCAGCAGCTGCTGCAACAGCTAAAATTCAGGCTATGGATGCTGTTGCTAGCAATGCAATTGTAAGTATAAAAAGCTTTATGAAGGTTCGTATATTATATGAATTAGAATTATTAACCAAAGTGTTATTTGCAAGAAATCAAGCATGGAGATTTTGTAATTAAAAAAATTCTTTAATCCGTTGTTTCAAAAAGTGTGCCTATTACATTAAAGTCTGTGCGCGTCTGTCTGTTTGTTTGTTTAGGTGTAATAGCATCTCCTCGGCAACAGCTGGGCCTCGGGCATACTGAAGCATACCGTTGGATTCATCAGGTCCGTGGCTCGCCATTTTGGCCGTATACGTTGGCTTTCTGGGGTTTTCCCTATTTTAAGGATATGGCTGTGTGCCAAATTCTATAATCTTTTTCTGGAATATCTACGGAATGGCGCAGAGTTGAAATTCAAAACGTGTATTCCCCGATTCCAAAAAATTCTGCGAATCCATTGATACCGGTCTCATCTTCTTACGACTTTAATCAGCCGAGATATTAATTAAAAACAGCGAAAACCATAATTTCACCCCTGATTCTTCCAAGTGGCAACAGTCTCCGCACTCCCTGGGGATAAAAATGCTTCGAATAAATAAAGTAAAACTAAAAATAGAAACTCTCTTTTCATTTAGTTGTTAATTTATTGTAGATTGGTTTATTCCCTTGATAAGTCGATTTTATTATTGCTGCGAACTAATTTATCATTTAAATTCAAAGAGAATATATGTTTTTTTTTTAATAATAAATTTAATTTTTAGGAATAATTTTTTTCACGGTTTTAGATACGTTCACTTCATTTAGATATGCTCTTTGAATTTAAATGTTGCAGCCTTTTTTTTTTTTTTTTTTTTTTTTTTTTTGGTTTTGTGTGTGTGTTTAGATTAAAGATTTTTCTTTTCAGAATTTTAAACAAGAATTTAAATTATTATATATTTAAAGTAATAATTTAAATCCTGACTAATTTTTTTTTTTCCGTTCAGGCTTTAAATTAAATTTTTTCCTTTGAGATTTTATACGGGAAGTTTTCTTATTATAAATAATTATGGATTATTAATTTAATTAATATATATATATTATCAGGGAGTGTTTGTGCTCCGGGGATTTTGAACTTAGATACCCGGAAATTCCAGGGATCGTGGTTCAAAAGGAAGTAGGGATAATAATGAATTATTTATTTTGATCTGGGTAATTTTGTTTGCTTTGAAAGCAGAAAACACAAGGTCAGTGTGTGTGTGGTGAAAACTTTTCCTTTCTTTCTCGAAAGGCAGTGATAATGCGTGAAAAGGGGGGGAAAACTTCTTTTTTGTTCTTTCCTTATTGCGAGTTATGACTCATTCCCCCGGTTCTCGGACATTCTCTTCTGGATTCTTTTCGGCAAGTAGGCGCGGCAGAAAAAAAAAGGGAGAGACTTCGTTCGACCAGATGTGCGATCACGTGACTCTGGGTTCAAAGGTCTTATCTCTACTGGCGTGGCGCCAATAAGTAGAGAAGGGGGATTTTTCGCCGTATTAGCTATTTGTCATTGATCGCTTCTCAACTTTTTTTTTCTCCGCTGTGTAAAATTTTCATTTCATTTATTGATGCACGTGTAAATTTTTCGTTTCGTTTATTGAAATATTTTTTTATTTATGTACGCAAGAGAATTTCACTATGAAATTTCTCTATATAAATAGTGATATTATACAGTTAGAAGAAGGTGTCCGGTCCGGAATGCATTTAGGTGGAATTAGATTGAACGGAGAGATGGTAATGGGGATACCATCGGCACATGGTGCAAGAAAATAAATGTTGCTGGACAAGCATATTGTGTTTTTTGTAACTCACTGCTGAAGTATGGTGGGGAAGGATTCAAGGCTTTCACAAATCATTCTAAAACTGTGACGCACATAAAATATTCAAAGTGCATTAGACATTCAATGACTTTAAGTAATTATTCTAATTCAAAAAATACTGATGACTTACTGGAGACTGATGCTCGGCCATTGGATATAGTGACAAGAAAAGCACGCCAAGAGGTATTAATAACTTCGTTTATCGCCGAGAATTCTCTTTCTTTCAATGTAGCTCCCAATTTAATTGAACTCTGCAAACAGTTGAGCCGCGATCAGACGGCACTAAACTCGTTGGAAATGTCCAGGACTACTGCATGTTATAAGATGAAATATGGGCTCGCAAAAACTATTAAGGAAAATATCATTAAAACTTTAAAGGAGACTCCATTTTCTCTAAATTTGGATGAAAGTACTAGCAATGCTCAAGAAAGTATACTGGCAATATTGGTGCAGTTTTATGACAACAATCAAAATGAAGTTGTAGTTCATCATTTTGCATCTCTAAAGATGGAATCTTGCAATTCAGAAGCTGTTTTTAAAGCAGTTGTTAATACTATTGAAGATAATAATATTCCATGGGCAAACTTAATTAGTGTATTAATGGACTCATGTAACACCATGCGTGGAAAAAAAAAAGGGTGTTGAAACCAGACTACGATCAAACAAAGCACCCCACTTATTAGATATTGATGGTGACACATGTCACACAGCTAATAACTGTGCAAAAAAATTTGCTTCATGTTTTGATAGATACTTAGAAGATTTGTTTGATGACATCTATTTTGATATGAAAAGCTGCAGTAAAAGAGAAAATTTTTTCAAAATCTGTGAATCCCTTGCCATTAAAAAACTTAAGCCCTTGAAGAGACCAGACCATAGGTGGGTGTACATTTTATGTGTTTTAGAAAGAATCAAAGATCTGTGGGATGCTCTTATTGCATTTTATTTTCACTACTTGGATAAAACTGATAAAGGGGATTATTTTTCTTATGTTGAAACTGTATACAATAAAAGAAATATTTCTGCAGCTCAGAAAAAAAATTGTTGAAGGGGTGTATTCTTGCTTGCATTCCCAACAACTCACAAAGGATGCTTTAGCTCGGGAAAAAAAAGAATACTAAATGGGTTATTTGTTATGCAAAACAAAACTTTATTGCATATGGCATTATATTCAGCAGTATTACCAGAGTTCAACACATATATTAAATTATTTGAAACAAAAAAAACCAATGCTTCATTTAATACATTCCAGTATTTATAAATTGATGGCAAAATTTTTCTCTTTTTTTTATGAAGCCAGAAAATATAGAGTGCACATCTTATAATGATTTATTAAAGGTTGATGTCACAAATCCAGAATTCCATCTACCTAGCAAAGTAATATTTACTGGTGCAGAAGCTTCCACTCTCCTGAAGAAATTATCAAAAAATCATCCAATAGCAAAAGAATTCCAAATTTCTCTGATGAAAGCTTATACTAATACAGCACAGCATATGAAACAGAAATTACCCCTTAAAAATTCATATCTAATTAGTTTTACAGCATTAGATCCAGAGCTAAGAGGTAAAACCAGTACAATATTAGCTTTTGAAAAATTATCATCTTTTATGTCCCATATTTTTAGTGATAATGAAAAGTCAAAAGTAGAAGCTGAAATAAGGTTATACCAGAGTGATATTGATATCACCAAAGAAATGCTCTACACATCTGATGAAAGTGGAAATCAAGTCAAGTGTACAATTGATAAATATTGGTCTAAAGTTTTTAATTTAAAAGATGATTTCACAAATGATTATAAGTATCCTACATTGGCTAAATTGGTCAAAGCTTGCCTTAGCTTCTTCCATGGCCCATTAGTGGAAAGTGCATTCAACTTAATGTCACTGACTATAGAACCTCTCTTAAGATTGATTCCTTAGATGCTGTGCAGACTATTAAATATGATTTAAAGGCTTCTAAAGAAACCTCATGTGAAAAATATGGCTCAAAAAATCCAATGACTGATCCAATTCACAAAGATCTCTTACTGAATATGAACAGAAGTTGGAAAACATATCAAGAGGACTTAAAAACATGTATTTCAGATGAGTCACCTATAAAAGTCTCTGAAAAACCTTCTACATTAGCAGAAAAGCAAACTGCTTCTACCTCTGCATGTGCAGTTCTCGAGGAAATTTCTTCAACTGTAAATGAGGAAAATAAAAGTCAACCTTCCTGCAATTATGAAGTTCACCACAAAAGAAAGACAAGCCCACAAACATCAGAAAATAAAAAAAAGCAGCAGAAATTAGATAATTTTTTTTAAAGAATTAATTCAGGTAATTTAAAATATTTACATAAAATGTAGTAGTTTTATATGTTTGAAAATTTATGGTTATTAATTTTGCAAAAAAAGTAATTCATTGAACTTTTATAATTAGGTCATTCAATGCTTCATAATTGTAATTTTTCATTTCTCTCCCCCCCCTTCTCAAAACTCCAAAATGTCGCTTGGGTGTTTTCGTGGTTTTCCCCATGTGTAACGTGTATACGAGCCAGTTTTCCTTAAGTCCTCCACGAAGGCATCCCTTCCCTTAGGCAGATAGCCCTAGAGGCTTTGCCGTAATTAAATAACCTAACCTAACCAAAATGTTGGTAGTAAGTCCATAAAAGTTTCAGGGGATTTTTTGGGGGCCCACAAACACTCCTGAACTTGTCAATCGAAATTTATTCGTTTTCAGTAACTTCTCTGTCACTTTCTTCACTATTGGTAGCAGTATTTGTCAATCGAAATTTATTCATTTTCTGTAACTTCTCTGTTACTTTCTTCACTGTCGGTAGCAGTATTAAAACATACTACTGATTTGACTGTCTGCTAATTTATTGATAATTGGGGCATTGTCATCTCATTGAAAAACTTCTCTTATATTATCTTCATTTATTTCCGCTTCTCCACATTTCTTGAAAAAATTCATATATTGGAAAATTTAATCTTTGGTTTGCGATATCTGAAAACTTCATAGCTATATTCATGGCTATCATCTTCATCATCCTCACCACGAAATATGCTATTGGCCATAAATTATGCCAAGCAGTTCTTAAAGTATATGGAGATACATCCTTCCACGATCTTATTAATTCCAATATGGAGGCACAGTTTGGAGAAAAGCGTAGTACAGATGCGTTATCTTTCGCTAAAATTAAATGAGCCGAACTATTGT